TTAATAAATATAAGATGGAACTGAGCCCAGGAGTTGGTACTACAGCCTATTTGGTTTTGTTTTTTGTTGTTTTTTTTTTTTTTAGTAAATTTTATTAAATTATAAAAGTTTCCATTTCCACCCCCCCTCCCACTCCCCCTACTCCCCCTCCTCCTCCCTCTTCATCCCCCAGGGCAGTCAGGGTTTCCTGCCCTGTGGGAAGTTCCAGTTCCTTCCCCCTCCCTCCAGGTCCAGGAAGGTGAGTGTCCAAACAGACTGGATCCCCAAAATCCATTATATGTAGAGGAAACAGGTCCCAGTGTCATAGTCAATGGCTTTTCAGAAAGACTTCGGGTCAGCCACAGTCAGAGAATCCGGCCAAATTCGGAGAGTCTGGTTAGATCACGACCTCTTTCAGTCCCAGTCCAACTGGCCTTGGTAAACTCTCATCAGATCCGTTCCCTTGTATCAGTGGGTGATAGCATCCCTCGCAGTACTGATTTCGTTTTTCATGTTCTTCCTCCTTCTGCTCCTCATTTGGACCTCGGGGGGCTCAGTCCGGTGCTGCAATATGGGTCACTGACTGTATCGCTGTCCTTCGTCAGATGCAGGATCTATGGTGATAAGCAAAATATACATCAGTATGGACATGGGCCACGGCCGATTCAGGCACCCACTCCTCTGTCCAGAGAGCAATCTGGGGGATCTCTTGGTTTTGTTTGTTGGTTAGTTGGTTGTTTCTTTGAGACTTGGTTAGATGTAGCTGGACTCAAACTCTATATAGCCAAGGGTGACCTTGAACTCCTGATATCCCTGCCTCTACTAAGGCAGTGAATTGTCATGCCCTGTGGCAATCCTCAGTACAGGAGCCTACGGTCTTCAAACAATTCATCAAAGAAACAATGAAAAATTGGAATCAGCTCTCCCAGCAGCTGTCCCGACAGGCTTCATAACGCTCTGCACCTTGTTTGTGTCTTTCAAAGAGATGCCCTTACAGAGTGACCTGAACCGTGTGTAGCTGTGAGGATACACCCCTACACTGGGAGGGAATGTCTATATGTATGTATGTACAGATGAAGGAAGGTGCAGGAAGCCCCTGCCACAGGATGTCACGCAGCAAGCAAGCACTGTCATACCCTAAAGGGAAAGAGAAACCTGACCAGAAGAAGTGAGAATGGGGGAAGTCATAGGCCTTCCGGGCTCACAGAGTTGCAGGAAGGTGATTTCAAATCTTTCAACAAGTTATGAACGAAGTAAGGAATTTTACCATGAAAAAGCCTTATTCGCTTGGTGGACGTCCAGGTACACTGGAGATCCTCTGACTCACCACTAGATGGACCCATTTGATATGTTGTTTTCCAAGAAAAAGCACCAATTTCATAATGAAGACTTTCTGACAGGATTTAGGCTGATTTTAAAAACAAAACTTGACTTTTTTTTTTAAATAAACAAAAGTCACTTATACAAAGTAATGAATAAAATGTACTTATTATTTAAATAGTGCCAATTGAAAGAATCGGCAGTGGTACAAGATACCCTAAGATCAAGTTCTCAGCAAAAAGGAGATTTATTTGCCCAAGTGGGACAAAGGGCAGGGAATATAAGCAAAGACAAAATATAGAGAACAATGGAGAAGGGGAAGGGAACAAGCAAGAATAGAAAGGGGTATTGGTCCTCAAGAGACACAGGACTGCCTCTGGATAGAGAGGAGACAGTTGTGGACCACAGGCAAAGGGCAGTTTATAAAGGTAAAAGAGAACCCCATGTTAGGATGAGGTGTTTAATTTTGATTGGGTATGTTAATTAGGGCAGCCACAAGGGGACTTTTGATTTCTGGAAATCAATACTTTGACAGCTAGAACCTGGCGGTTGGCATCAGGAGAAGGAAGTGGCCAAATAAGGGAAGAGACTTTTGTGGCTAGCTTTAGGGATGCAGTCTAAGAGATTTTCGTGAGGAGGAGGAGGGAAGGGGGAAGAAGGAAGGCCTGCCAGAGCCACGTCTGCTGTGCTTGGGCTGGATAGAATTCCCTTCACCAATGACAACAATTATTTGCTCAGGCAAGGTGTTGGTTTCTTGTTTCTTTGGGCTTATTTCTTTTTAGATTGGGTTTCATATATCCTGGGATGGCTTCAAACTCATTATGTAGTCAAGAAAGACCTTGAACCTCTGATCCTCCTGCCTCTGCTTCCTGAGCGTTGGAATCGCAAGTATAAGCCAACTTGCGCTGTTACTCTGTGCTGGGGGTCAAATTCAAAGCTCTGTGTATGCTGGGCAAGTATCCTACAACTGAGCTACATCCCCAGCTTGGAGGCAAGGTGATTTCGGTGTTGTTTGGCTGTTTTTGTTTGTCTGTTTTTACTGCCCCAGGGGTCAAACCCAATGCTCCCCAATGCTGACAAATGTTCTACTGCTGAGCTGCCTGCCTAGCTGAATACTCCACAACCATCTCTAAGCTTAAGGAACAAAACATAACTAAATAAATCCCGGAAGCCAACGGACGCTCTCTCATCTTATTCTCCTCTGCACATGGATCAATAGCTATTCTGAAAATTCACTTACAGTGTATGATATGTTACTGTGTATGGAGGGGAAGATCTGTCCAAGTTTTGGAAAGCATATTTGTTAGGATTCAGGCATTATGGTGGCTGCCCTGTCATCTGGCAGGAAGTACCCAGGCAGTACCCTGGCCAGTCCAGGGTCCTATTCTGTACGCAGGTGCAAAGGTCCCTTTAAAAAAACAAGCTCCACCCACACCCTTCTCTCTTCCTCTCTGCCATTCTCTCTGAGGAGGCGGCTTTTCTGTCTCTCTCTATTCCTCTCTCCTTCTCTCTTTGTCTATGTCTCTCTGTTTCTCCTGTTCTCTCTTCTCTTCCCATTCCCTTTGTCTCAATAAACTCCACACTCAAACTCTGTCTGAATGATGTGTTTTTCTGGCCCTCAGCCATGGTTTGAACTCGTCCACCTTGGGGCCCACTAGGGTCCCACTCGCGCTGTATTATGATATACATATATATCATATGTATATGATATACATATATATATCATATATATATGATATACATACAATCATCAAGTTGTATGTATTTTTCCCTGGCCTGTTTTTTTCCCCACTTATCTGTTTCTGAGTTTCACATGAGTTGACAGGTAAAGATGCATTTCAACAGCCCTGAAGCACTGTGGTTTGGAAACAGGTGTAAATACATCTCTCTTACTGAAATTAGACTTGCTTTTATTTATACACGTTATGACGTACAAATTTTCCAGGCAGTTGAGAGTGCACACTACTTATAGGGACACTAGCCACTGGAGCCTGTGGCTCTGATAGACCTTACCCTTCTCCCCACTTCCCTTTGTCTTCCTAAAAACTACTAGGTTACATTCCTAAAGCTAGCCACAAAGCTCTAGTCCCTTTTTTGTGACCACTTCCTCCTTCTGAGACTGACTACCAAGATCCAGCTATCACAGTATTGAAGTTCAGCAATCAAAAACCCTCCTTTTGGCTGCCTTAATTAACATGCCCAGACAAAATATACCACCAGATGCTAGCCCATCCTAACACAGACCTCTCCTCTTTCCTCCTCTTCAGCAGCCACTTTAACTTTTCTTCCCCAATAAATAAAGGATCTCTCTGTGAAAGCAGGTGTTTGTGTATGCTTCCTGCCTAACCAGGGTCCAGGAGAGCCCCAATTCTGCAGGAGTCTCCTTTACTGCAGATCCCAGCACCCAAACTGATTAATTCACAGCCTCCCATAGCTCCTGCTCTACAGATCAAAGGTCTCTGATCTCTGAGGACACCTGCACTCACATACGTAAGAACACACAGACCCATGTTCATCAACATAATTTTAAATATAATAAAATAAAACAAATAGGTAAAAATTCCAATTTACTCAATTTAGTGGTTTTTGTTTGTTTGTTTGTTTTTCGTGAGTGCCTGGTCTTTCAGAAAAGGATTGTTTCATCTTTTTCTCTGCTCTGTTCATCAAACTGTGCCCAGGGTGGCCAAGGATATGCTCCAAGAAATGAGAATCTTTGTGGCAGCCACCAGGTTGTTATCTTCCAGATTGATCTGACATTTGCTCAAATTCATTAGGCATCATTTCAAGTTTGGTAACCAGTGTGGCTGACCACAAGTGCTAACCTGGCACAAGCCGGTATCCCACCAAAGGAGACGGTGATAATTATGTGCCTTCATATAATGCGTTTGGATCAGGTTCGCCCTCCATTCCCTCCTGTTCAATCCAATGCTCTCCCCATTTCCTCATCTTTTCCCTTCAAACTTCACATTTGGAATATAAGTGATGAGGAGAAAACTAGAACTCTGTATACAAGAGTGTGAGATTTGGCCCTTATGGTACACCACACCCAAAAGACTTAACTGCAGAACCTGATATTGTAGTACATGCGAGAAAGTTCTAGACCACCACCCCATATCAGGCTAAATGAGAGTCCCTTTTTGAGCCAGTGACCATGAACAGGCTGGTGTCTTGGAAAACCTCTTGGGATTGAAACTCCAGAGGACAACATTTATACAAGAAAACCTCAATGACACAATTGCCAGGTGTAGGTCAGGGGAACCTTGTGACATCTGTTTTCTCGGAACACATCGGCTGTTTTGGTTGTACATCTGGGCTTTGGTCAAGGTCATAGGATGCCCTGAATGTGTTGCCAAGGCTATTGTGATTGTTCAGGGGACTAGTTTAGTGATATTTATTTTGTATTTTTAATAAATAAAGCTTGCCTGAAGGTCAGAGAGTAAAATAGCCCCATTGATTAAGGCTTTACAGTCCAGGCAGCGGTGACACACACCTTTAATCTCAGTAGCCGCACTAGTTTGCCATAGGAACTGGGCGGTAGTGGTGCACACCTTCAATCCCAGCCCTAGGAGAGGAATATGAAATGGGAGGAGACAGCTCTCAGACACAATCTCATTCTGAGATTCCTGGAGGCAAGATCGTCGTTTCAGACTGAGGTAGAGGTAAGAGCCAGTGACTGTCTGTTTTGCTTTTCTGGCTTTCAGGTTGAACCTTAATATCTGTTTCCAGGTTTTTACTAATTGTGCTACAGACTAGGGGCTGAAAGATGCCTGAGCAGACACTAACTGGAGACAAGGTAAGATCAAGACAAGATAGCATTATCTCAGTCACTTCACTGAAACCGTAAAATTTCCAGAAGAAAACATGGGTTTTGGTGAAAAGTTTCTGCACCCCAATAAGCCTCTCTACTGACACAATAATCCAAATCAGACCAAATAAAACTCAATTAGAGAAAGTCCAGGTTTAATGGATCCCATGCTCCTGGATGACTTTTCAGCCCCCCAAGAGGAGACAAGAAAGGAAGACTGGAAAACCACTTGTTTGTTCTCTGGAGGGCAGTTTAAATACCCTGTGGGGGTGATCTTGAGCATCTCTGAGGAGGGGTCACCCTTTGGTGGGATTTCTCAGGGGCAGAGTCTGGACTGAGGCAACTCCAGGGAAGGAGACTATGGATTGAACTTCCACTGGAACATTCAGATTCTGTGCATATGTAGATGTCAGGGGCTTGGGTGAGGCTTCCATCCAAACATAGCAGACTCTTTCGATATATGGATGCCAGTCCATGTCTGGCTGCTTCCTGCGGGCATGGTGCAACATGGGGGAAGGGAGAGTTGGGAGTTGGCCGACTCACACTCAACAGGAGGTGTGGGTGGAGAGGCATCCAGTTAACTGCCATCCTGGTGGCCACAGGCATCTGTTCCCTGAGAGAGCTGAGAAGGCAGGTTGCTAGGAGAAAAAATAGATTGTTATCATCTGTCTTGGTTGTACCAACAAAGATGAGTGTGCCAGGAAGAAGACCAGATAGGCCCTTCATTGCAACATCTTGGAAAACTGGAGGGTCCCAACTGCTGGACAGACCAAGTATCCTGACTAGGTGCCCGTTTGAACCTGGAGAGGTGGTACCAGCATAGTTGTCCCAGGAGCTTGGCAGCCAAAGGTGTGGTGAGGATCACTGTGTTAGGTCCTCCATAGAGACTCAAGAGACCTAGGAATTAGCTGTTTGAGGAGTACTCTGTCCCTCCCTCCCCCCAGGAGAGCAAGCTCAGGGGCAGTTGGGTCTGTTGGCGTGGGGGCAGGGAGATAGCTGTCAGCATGTGAACGGAGAGGGATCTCAGAAGGGAGAGGTAGGGTAGAGACCCAGCTAATGGAGGCCTTTGGTTTGGGAGGAGGTGATTGAGGAGGAAGGGCCTGCCATAGAGGAAAGGGCTTAGACCTGTAGGAGAATATGGGGAGGTCTGGAGGTGGGTAAGGGCAATGGGGAGACGGGAGGGCCAAGATAACCTGAGTTCAGTGGAGAGCTTGGTTAGCTATTGCTTGATGAGTTCATTGGCCGTTTCCACCTTTCCGGATGCAGAGCTTCCAGGAGATACTGAGAGCTTCTGCCATGAGTTCCATGACCCTGGAAGTGAAGGCTTAGCCCATGTCCATGTGTATGATCTGTGACTCGCCAAATCAAGGAATGATGTAGTCCAGGAGTACCCGAGCCACCATATCTGCTGTTTCCCTGGAGGTGGAAAACATTTCTGTCCATCCTGTAAAAGTGTCAACAACGTTAGCAGAGAATGGAGTTTTTATAAGTGGACACATGAGTGAAATCAACCTGCCAATCTTCACCCCGGTGATGTCCACGAAGCTGGTGCAGAGGCCCCTATGGATTGGCCTTGGCACACGTCTGGCAGGAGGAGTGAATCTGTGAATATGTGCTCAGAGATGGAGATGGGTGGGGCCAAAGAGGGGCTCTAAGGAATGAAACAAAGCCTTGGGGCCTATGTGTACGTCTGGTGGATGTCTGAAATGATCGACAATGCCTGGCCCTGGGAGGATGAGACAGTTATTTAGGTAGAACCATCCTTCCTTTTTGTGGTCCCCTTTTTCATGAGTTTGTCCCTGTCTTCTGGTTAATAACAGGGCTGATAGGAGGGAGTCAAAACCAAAATATGTTCTGTTGATCCAGAGGAGCTGGAGGCCAGCCCTCGGGCTAACGAGTCAACCTTGGCATTGCCTAAGGCCCCTGGGTCCTTGGAGGACTGGTGTCTCCAGTAGTGAATTATGACTACTTCTGCAGGAAGCTGAAGGGTCTCCAAGAGCTTGGCTTTAAGGGGGCAGTTAACTGTGGGAGTATCCTTGGTAGTGAGGAAGCCCCCTTCCTTCCATAGGACAGATGAGTATGGGCTATTAAAAAGGCATATGTAGAGTCCGTATAGATGTTAGCCCATTGACACTTGGCTATCCTTGGCTATCTGGAGTGCTCTAGTCAAGGCAATTAATTTGGCCTTTGTGAAGAGGTTCCCATAGGCTGGCGGGTCACTTCAATTGTTTTAGGGGAAGTGACCACTGCTTGTGCTACCTGGCGGTTCACTGACCTGTCCATAAAAGAATTTCCATCAACAAACGGGGGGGGGGGGGGGGGGGGGATTTGTAAGTGGTTGATCTAGAAGACCAGGCCGAGGTGAGCATAAGGCCATCACAGCCTCTAGGCAGGAGTGGGAGGAGGTACCAGAGAGGGAGGGGACAGGAAGGAGGGTTGCAGGGTTTAGGGCAGGTCTGGAGGCCAAGGTAACTTGGGGGTTTTCTAGAAACAGTAAGTGAAAGACATATACTTGTGAAGGCCCAAGGAGGAAGAGAGGAGAATGACTCAGAAGGTCTGAGAGGCAGTGGGTGGAGTATACCGTGACTGGCTTGAACAAGGTGTTCTTGAGAGCCTCCCAGGTGAGTTCAGCTGCTGCTGCCAGAGATCTCAAGCATGGCTGACATCCACAGACTGTGAGGTCCAGCTGTTTGGACAAGAAGACAGGTCCTTGTCCTGGTAACAGGTCAGAGGTCTGGCACAGCTGAGTCTTTGGCAGGACACCCCCAAAAATTGCAGGAGGCCCTGGGCCTCTAAGGAAAGGTTTGGAAAGGACAACTTACCTAGTCGAAAACTGATCTTAGCCTGATGGAGAGCATGTATGGAGAGAAGGGTGTTTTCCCACCATGTGGCCTCGGGCCAGTGGGAGGAAAACAGCCCCTCAGTGGTTCCTCTACATGAAAGTTTTTGCACCCCAATAAACCTCTCTGCTGATGCAGTAATCCAAATCAGACCAAACAAAACATAATTAGAGAAAGTCCAGGTTTAATGGATACCATGCTCCCAGAGGGCTTTCCAGCCCCACAGAGAGGAGACAGAAAAGGAAAGGCAGACTTGAAAACCATGTGTTTGTTTTCTGGGGAACAGTTTAAATACCCTGTGGGAGTGGTCTTAAGCATCTCTGGGGAGGGGTCATTGTTTGGCAGGCTTTCTCAGGGGCAGAGTTTGGACTGAGCAACTCCAGGGAAGAGGGCTTGGGATAGAACTTCCACCTGAGCATTTCAGACTCTTTGGATATATAAATGTCAGGGGCTTGGGTGAGGCTTCCGTCCAAACATCCCAGACTCTTTGAATACATAAATGTCAGGGACTGGATTGAAGCTTTCATTCGAACATTTGGTAATGATTTGTTTTGATTAAGCTACAAAGTGAATAACAAAAACAAAAATAAACAAATGGGACAATATTGAACCTTCTGAGCAGCAAATGAAGTAATCAATAAAATGTAGAGTCAGGCCATGGAATGGAAGAAAATCTTCTTAAATCATCTATCCGATAAGGAGCTAATCTACAAAATACACCATGTTGTGCATCTGTCAAAAAAAAAAGTCTAGAACAGGGGTTCTCAACCTGTGGGTCAGGATCCCTTTTGGGGTCAAATGACCCTTTCCGAGGGTTTGCCTAAGACCATCAGAAAACGCAAACATTTATATTACAGTTCATAATAGTAGCAAGATTACAGTTATGAAATAGCAGCAAAAATAATTTTATGGCTATTTTTGGATCCTTGATAGTGGGTTTCTCTACTGACACAGTAAGCCAGATCAAGTCAAATTAAAAAGACCAGGTTTAATGAGCCAAGCGTTCTCAGGTGAACTTTTCAGCCCCCCAGAATTGAGGCGGCAGATCTAGGGACCGGGAACTTAAATACTCTATAGGAGTGGTCTTGAGCTTTTGGGGAGGAGCCTGGACTTTTGCTGGTCTTGCTGAGCAGGCAGGGATTGGAGAGGGAGGAGTGGGCCAAGGCAGGGCTTCCAACTGAACAGTCACCACAACATGAGGACCTGTATTAAAGAGTTGCAGTGTTAGGAAGGTTGAGAACCACTGACCTGGAGGCTTCGGTGGCACAAGTTTGTCGACAAATGTTTGAAGGGAATAAAGGCAGAGCCATCATGAAGCAGAGGCCTTCTGGGCTACCTTCCGTGAGGAGCCAACACTATTCTTCCCTCCCCCTCCCTATAGTTAGTGTCTATACTTAGGTGTTTGTGTGTTGGCGAGGGGTTGGCACGCATGTGTACACATGTGATTGCAGCTGAGCTTATCCATGTAGGTACACGTGGAGACCAGAGATTGGCATCAGGATGTCTTCATTACTCTCTATCTTATTTTTTAAAATGATATCTCTCACTGAACGCGAAGCATACTATCTCAGTTAAACTGGCTAGCCAGTCAGCTTCTGAGCTCCACCTAACTCCTTCCTCCAGCCCACGGCTACACACTAACTGGGTTTCCCACAGATGCTGGGGATTCAAACTCAGGCCCTCAAGCTTGCACTGCAACTGTTTTCCCAGCAGGGCCATGCTGTAGGAATTCCTACCACCAGGAGCCTTCAAGTTACCTGCCCACTTGGACATGGCCTCTTACACTATTTATGCCAAGGAAAAGCACACATCCAGCCTCTTTTCTGGCTAAAGTTTTGGCATGTCTGTCTCTGGTGATTCTCTGACTCTGCCCTTCTTTCTCCCAGCATACAGCCTAGTCTCATGTCCCCATGTCCTCCCCCCCTCACCCCCGCCTAGTTCTGTTCTTCCCTACCAATGGCTCAAAGCAGTTCTTTATTCATTAACTGATAAAAGCACGTAGACGGAAGGACCTCCCACACCAGGGCCATCTCCTCTTTTCAGGCCTGAAAGCTTTTAACGAGCTTCAATGTTGCTTCCTACTGACTTACCCAGAAATTCTTTCCAGTGGTAAGGCTGAGAAGCCCAGCTTCAATTGAGTGGAATTCTCCGAACAGAATTCCTCAGGCTGCTACAGATGGTGGTATGGCTCTGCGTCTCCCACCCCTGCTGCACTGTCTGTGACATCCCTGATGACCCACACAGGGTTATTCTGAAACACAGCTGCTGAGTGCCCTTGACTTGCACCTAGGTCCTCAGCTCTGCTCTTTGCTTCCCTGGTACTCTGGTTTCTTCACCTTGGTTTTCAAGCCAAAAAAAAAAAAAAAAAGGCACATATGGTAGTTAACGAATGCCATCAGAAGGTCAAGGACTGGAATCTCCTTGGAGCTATCCATACCCTGTTCCTGGAAACAGTGCAGAACTGTCAACAGGGACATCGTGGTAGGGACTGATCCGCCAATGTCCCAAGCTACTCTTTTGCCTGCAGGAGAGCCACCTGACACCCTGCTGAGGTGAACTGAAATGGGACAATTCTCAGACGAGCAAGCTTCATGAAGCATTACATTCTGGACCCCAAACATTAAGAACAGTTGCTTCTGTGCCCGTTTATCCCTCGACCTTCCCGTTGAGGTGGCCCAGTGGCTAAAGCTAAGCCTAAAGACCTGAGTTCTATCCCTGTGATCCATAGGATGGAAGGAAAGAACCAACTTTTGTGAGTTGTCTTCTGACCTCCACACATGTACTGTGGCACGTATGTGCACATGTGTTTATACAAACATGCTCAAGCTCACACACAGAGTCAGCAAATACATGTGAGGAGCTATTTCTTCATTCAGATAACATGTGCATCCGTGCATGTACGCATGTTGAAATTTGGTGTATTCATAGTATCTAGGGACATCGCCTGATAATTAGCCACCCGAGCCATTAATTAGCTACTATGAATGAGCCTGTGGTGTCCAGTCCAGGCGAGAACTCACGGTGAGTATCTCAGTTTAAATACAGAACAGGCTAATGTTGCCTAGTGTAAGGTGGGAAAGGAGTGTGAGAAGTCCAGGTTGTTTGTTCTTTTCTTCTTTTTCTTTTTCTTCTAGACACACAGGTACACACAGGGAGTATAACTAAGTAGCTGTAAGTTAGAAAGTAAAGAAGAAAATGACCTAAAATTGATATTGCAGAATATTTTTCCATTAGTAAGGATAACACCCCCCCCGAATGTTTAGCTTTTGGAAATAGGTGAAAATACTACGTTATGTCTACAGAACCAAACTGCACCTGCTGACCTTTGGCCTAATTTAAGAAAATTCTAAAAGATGTTCCTGGAAGTGTAGATTTCAGAGTAAGGATTATTAGTGTCATGTAGGAAATAATCAGATGCGAGCTAATATTTAAAATGGACGAATGAGAAATCGAAAGGAAATATATAAAATCTTTGAGCCTATTTTCATGTGTGTTCATGTGTATGTCCTTGTGTGTGCTTATGTTTCTGCATTGTTTGCATGCTACATGTGGGGTGGTTAAAATTAGTTTAACTGCTGGCTTGAGCTGCCTTTGTCTGCTGCATGTAACCTCCTTTGGCAGGCATTGCACGTTCCTGACGCTTCTTCCCACTGTCGCCCTTGCAAACACTCACTTGACTCCCACGGCTTCACTATGCAACACCCATTCAGAGAGTTTTTGCAGGAACTTCAACTCTGTAACTCACTGGCTGACCATCTAGAGTTTTTGAAATGGTCGTGGCTGTGTAACTCTTGCACTCTGCCACAGTTGTAAAGCCAGTATCGTGTAGACGCACCAATGTCTGCTGCTGGAACAAGCTGTTCCTGGCTCCACTTAATCCACGGCAATTGCTAAACACAAGAAGTGGAATCCTGGGGACCCGCAGGCTTCCCTGGAGCTCAATTTTGAAATGAGTTACAGTAGAAAGTCTTTGAAATACATTTGTGCTTCTACACTTAGCACTTGCTGATTTCTGGGGAACTCTTGTGACGTTTTTCCTATTGACCGGATGTTTCAAGTTGACGTAAGTCTAGCCAACACAATTGCTAAGGCTTAGCAATTGCAACCTTCTTGCCCACACCTTTACATACCTTTTCTCTTTTTGACTAAACTACAGGTCTCTCCAATCATTCTAACCTCACTGTGAATGTGACTGAAAGCAGCCAGTAATTCTTTTGATGTGATGTCCTAAAATCTCAGCAAGACATGTGGCGTGGACCCAGATTTGTGACTCTATCAACTCTCATCATAGAAGTGTCCTTTTGCAGTAGAAGCGTCCTTTTGCAGTAGATAGCAACCAATACAGAAACCCACAACTGGTCAAGATGCAGAGAAAAAGAGATGGAGTAATGTTCGATCTATATCACATCTCCTCCTCCCAGGTCAAGGGTCATTGCAGAAGAGGAAGTATAAAGAGTGTAAGGGC